GGCAGAAATGTCTCGCTTCTGACACCAAAAAGAGAGGACAGAAGGCAGGCTGAGCCAGCCAAGTCACCAGCAGTTCTCCAAAACACAACCCCTGGCAGATGACAGCCTCCAAGTCACAAACTGTGGTATCAAGATGGCCAGTTGAAAAACCTCTGTCTTTGTTTACACACCAGGGTCTCAGTAAGTTTTTCCAGCCTCCAAGGGACCCACTCACCCATGGGTGATGCTGAGTGCCCCGTGGGCACCAGGGCTCGGGGGCTGGAGCATCCTGTGTTCCAGGCAGGTGTTTCAGGACTTGCTATTTTGGCTCTTCCCTGCACCCTCATGTTGGCCGCTTCCATTATGCCCGGACTCAGTTGTTCCTGGGCATCCCAGCTCAAAGTGCTTTGGCTTTTCTCAGGCACCACTGCCAGCCTAGAGGAGAAGCTCGCCCATGTCGAGAAGTACGAGACGGTGACGCCACATAAGCTGCTGGCACCTCGGGGGAAGAGGGACCTCTCCGTGCCACTGGTGAGTAGCGTCGCCTCCCAAATACAGGCTCGGCACAGCTGCCTTTGCTGCCTTGCAGGAGGTCTGGAGCGGGTGTTGTAATCAGCAAAGACCCTTGGCCCACCACTGGGCTTCAAGCTTGACGCCCTTGGCCCACCACTGGGGTCAAGAGCTGGACCCTCTTAGCCTTTTGCTGGAAGAACGACCTGGTGCACATTTTCTTACATTGCTTCCATCCCAGAGGATGGAAATCTTGAAGTAGTTGTTCAGATGAGCTTTCCTGGTCTCTTTTGGGTCCAAACAGGAACTGCAGATAGCAGGATGAACTCTCGGAGAGGGTGGGCTGCTTTCTCTAATGCTTTCTTTGGAGACATTATGCAGTGGTGCCATCTCTTGCAGCGATCTTGTGACATCTTTTTTAAGGAGGGATTTGCTAAGCCTCATTGAGCTGTAAGCATTTTTCTTGCTGTCTTTGCTGAAGTTTGTTTTCTTTCATCCTTCGGGACAGCAAAATAAGTATCAGAAAGATACATGTAGAAACCCACATGAAAGAAAACCAGTGTTATTTTTCTTGGGAAACTTTGTAATTTGGGGGAAGGAACGGGATTTTACTCAGGAATTTTGAGTGCTCAGTGTTGACATGCACAGGATGATGGCCTTGACCTCAAAGATGCTTTCCTCATTGCCTTCAAGTGAAATTCAGCCAAATATGTGGATTAATTTTCTAGGACCAAAAAGCACTGATGTTAGCACCTGATGAGATGGAGGAGCTGGGGACATTTATTTCCTACTAAACTCTTCATACAGCATATTCATCTGTGATTCAAACTCTTTCTGATAAACTAGCTTTAAAAACACTCCCCAAAAGCATCTGTTTTCTCTGCTCTAGAAACCTAAACTTGTCCACAAGATAAACATTCCCCGGGCTATTTAGAGATACCATCTGTGCCAGGCGCTCCAGGTGGCTCTGCACCGATCCACCCGGAAAGGGGAGCTCACCCATTTTGGGGTCCCTCTGCTTTCCATTGTATGAGAGAAGACATCTGCCTTGAGCTGTGTAGTTTGGGACAACCATGGGTGATGTGTGCCAGGTGGCACCTGGATTCAGTCTTGGATTGGGTAGTCCTTGGACCCCCCAAACCTGCTGTGTTGAGGCTATGAGGACTCCTGCCTTTCAGACCATTTTCCTCCTCTTCCACAAAAAATGTGCTTGCTCTCCCAGTAACCTTGATGGGGAGAGGTTCTCAGCAAGGTTTGACCACCACCAAGCCCCTCTTTGAAGTGGAGACAGATCTCTGGATGGGTATTTTCTGCGCCAGCTCTTCCTATGGCTTTGTGTTTGCAAGTCTCTGGCTGGGATGGGCACGGGCCAAGAGCTGGTTCCTGGGTCAGAGCAGATGGGACACATGGGGCTGGTCCAGCACAGCACCTGCCAGGTGAGGTTTGAAGCAGACCAGCTCCCCTATGGTTTTGCTTAAATCAAAATGTTAAGCCCTGCAGACAGGGTGGAGACCTAGGTCCTGCAGCACAGGATCTCCTGGGATGCCGGCCCTCCCACAGCCCATGGTCTGCTCCTCCTACCTGCCCTTAGCAGGAGCACAACAGGGCATGCGGCAAACCTCGGTTCTTCATGGAAAGAGACCTGAAAAAAGAGCAAGAAGAGCCTTCAATATGTTTTATCTTTGCATGCTTTTGATCGCCAAAGTGCCATCTCTCTTGATCCCATGCTCCAGCATTTCAAAGAATTGTATTAAAACAGGATTTTGGTTTCCAGCCCGTGTAAGACCTGGTGTTGCAAGATGCTGACTTCTCCCCCAGCGCACATGTGCTTGCACAACCCTGCTGATCTCCCCCACCGTGTCCCAGAGCCCCTTGATGCAAAGAGGCAAGTCCTTTGCCCGCGTGGAGACAGCCCACTCCTGCTGGCCCAGCCTAGGGCTCTGCAGTAAGCAGCAGGATGCTGCTGAGTGAGCAATGGGGCCAGATGGAGCTGGAACAAGGGACGATGGTGGCCCAGCAACTCACCTTCTTTTCCTCCTCTTGTGCTGCAACTCCTCTGGTACAGGGCATGGTGCAATGAGCCTCATCCCTATTGTCCTAGCAAGACCCATCGCCTCTTCCCATCCAGAGAATGGGACCCACCTGTGCTGGGCTGGGACAGTGGCATCACATTCCGATCCTCTGCAAGCTCTCTTAGTCTCTTAATTTAAAAGACCAGCTGTAAGAAATCACTTCTCTCTGTGTGCTGTGGCCACGGCTCTGCTTTGCTTGCTCAGCACGGTCACGGGGTTAGCAGGGCTCAGGCAGGGGCATGGCTGAGCTGCCTGTGCTTTCAGAGCCTTCCCACCTGGAGCCCTTGCAAAGCCCATGCTAATAAGGAAGCGGGTGATTCAGAGAAGCTTTATCAATCGAGACTTTTTTATTTTTTTAATTAACTTTCCCCGCGGTTGTCTCCAAGAGACAGTCCCTGACCCACCATCCCCTTACAAGTGCTTTCCTGCCATTTCTTAAGACCTCTTCTGGCTCCGGCACTGCCAACAATAACAAAGCATAGCTTTGTCAGCAGACGCAGAATGGGATGACCACATCAGGCGCGAGGCACTGTTCACAAGAGAAGAATTTGCTGGAGACTCATGAGCGTGCCCACACAGCAGCAGTATGTCTGCCTGCAGCCGGGGCTGCCTGGCTGCCCAGCAGGCTTGTTGCAACCTGCTCAGCATGCAGAGAGGATGTTTTTTGGCCTGCAGCCCGCCACTTCAGATTGGAAATGCAAACTGGGTAAAATTGAGGGCAACTGAGTGACAGGCAAACACTCTCACCTGGCCCTGCTGGCACTGAGTCAGCAGGACTTTCTGCTCAGCCCCAGTTCCCATCAGGTTACAGATCATGCATCCCCCTGGGAGTGTTGTATGACAGAAGGTGCTGTCATCCTCCCTGGGGAGAAGTCGCACGCCTCATTCGGAAGGAATCTGGCCCTGCAGGAGAAGCTTGCTTTGCCTTTTGCTCAGCTCTCCACCCCAGGATCCCGTAAGAGCTGAGGATGTGCCCTCAGGAGAGGTCTCTGTGCTGCAGTGGTGGCTGAGGATGTCCCTGGTGCCAAGGGTGCAGCCTGATACAGGGCACCACACAAGGGATCATTGTGTCTCTCAGTGGCCCCGGTAGGACGGGACCTCTGGAGGTCTGTGGCCCAACCTCTGCATATGGCAATCACAAGACATCCCAGAGGGAAACACTTCTTCTGGAGGGATATCTCCATCCTGGGGATTAAGGACATGGCTGGGCTGAGCCATGGCCACCCTGACCCAGCCATTGTGACTGGAGGTTAGACTTGAGATGCCTTGAGGTTCCTTGCACCAGCACTATGGTGATGCTCAGGGGATCTGGCACACAGTGATACTAACATCTGCTCTCAGTAGCAGACAAGAACCAAGAGGAAGGTTATTCTCTAACCGTGATGTTGCCTGTTAGATCAGTCAGAGATAAGAAAGTCTCTGCTGATGAAAGCCATTGGGCACTGGTTTTTTTGTGGTTCATCCTGTGAGTAAGCGCTGAACTCTGTCCCCAAAAAAGGAAGTCTGTGACTGATGAGTAGGAAACCACAATTTCTGGCATGGCCATCTGCATCATGTGTCAGACACGGGAAACCAGACTTTGCTGACTCTGTTTCATTGCTGGTGACCTGTTCTCTATCTCAGGATGTGCTGAGGATTTGTGTTATTGCTCATATGCTTGCTTTCTTCTCTTCTGATTTCCAATGTCTTAGCTGCATAACTCCAGGTTGAGCAGCCGGGCTCCCCATCATGCAGCTGCCTTCCAGTGGGGCACATGAAGACTCCATCCCCTTTCTGGGCAGGACAGTGTCCAGGAGGTCCTCTCTTCTATAGCTCTTGCTCCTGGTGATGGTGGGTCTGTGCTGTTGTCTATCTTTCCAGCAGAGCATCTACCCAGAGCACGTCCTCTACAGCATTCGTGCCGAGGGCAGGGACTACCTCCTGCAGCTGGAGAAGAACAAGTGAGTGTGGGTGGGCACAGTGACATGCCCAGGGGGAGGCTCAGTTCCCACCCTTGCCATGTATACCACTTCTATAAAGTCCAGCATCGCCACACTGGCGTTATAAGCCCTCAGCCCAGACCCTGGCTAGCAAAATACTGTATTTTTTTCCCTCCTTGCCAAACCCCCCCAGGAAGGTCATGGGCCCACCATACCCAACCTGACCAACCTCATCCCCAAAGCTTTCCATTCGATCTCCAAAACCGGAATCACTGCTCATACCCTTTCTCCATCCTGCAGGGAGCTGCTGGGGCAGCACTACACCCAGACGCACTACTCGGCCAACGGCACGGAGATCACAGAGAAGCCGGATGTTCAGGTACAGGGCTGGCTCTGAGGAGAGCAGTTTTGCTGCTCCTGTGGGGTCCCGCCACGCTGACAGCTGGTGCAGACCCCCTTTACACCTCCCCTCTCTCTTGGCAACAGGATCACTGCTTTTATCAGGGCAGCGTGCAAGGATACGCCGACTCAGCAGTGAGCATCAGTACCTGCAGCGGGCTGAGGTAGGACCTCTGACTGCTCCGGGGCTGGTCGGAAGGCAGCATCAAGCCTGGCCTCAGTGCACACCTCAGCACTACTCCTAGCGGACTTGGTGCCATGTAACAGTGAGCCGGTGTGACCAAGCCCCAGCCAGCCAGAGCTGCGCCGATGGAGGGAGAGATCAGCTTTCTCCCAAAGAAAAGAAGACAACGTCCCTTTTCCTGCTGGTGGTGGGAGTGCTGACCTCCCTGGCTTGGCACCCAGCAGGAAAGGTGCATGGTGTTTTGCAGCTAAGCCTGCCATTTTTTGGGGTTGACTCATGGCACAGGATGAGACTGGAAACCTGAGCATGACAGGAGGTCTGGGGAGGAGTGCCCTTCCTGGGCAGCAAGGCACAGTTTGTCCTGGATCCATCCTCTCTTCCCAGGGCAGACTGGGCGAAACTCGCCCTGAGTGCTGTAGCCAGTGGCACAACAGTGTGCTAATGGCGATGCACCAGCTTGCAGGCAGCCAGCATCTCCTCCGGGCCACACCAAGCTCCTAGAGCTGAAGGCCAAGTGCCTTTCCAAAAGAAAAGGAAAGTGTATGGTGCGTCAGACCAACTGTGCCTCCCTCTGCCCACTGGCTGCTGGCCATGCTGGTGCTCATTTCTCAAAAGCTGCCTTGGGTCTACCTTCATTTAACGGCAGAAAGCATCATTGCAGAGTAACCCAAGCCACCAGGTCCTTTCAAGGTTGCTCAGTTTGCTATGGAAGATTCGTACTCTGCTCTTCTTCTTCTTTTAAGATCAGCTGGCAGCCAGATGTTGCAAGAGAGTAAGCCAGAGAGGAAGGGGGTCCCTTGCAGAGGAGTGTGGGAGGAGGACGGGTGGTCCCTGGAGCACCCAGGGACCTGCAAACACCCACTTGCAGGAGAAACACCACTGGAGCTGCATGGCAGGCAGCTCCTCACTTTGAGAGCAGGGCTTGTGTCTGTGGAGACCTTGGCCCACATAGCTTGTGCATACATGGGAGACCTGATGTCCTTGTATAGTAGGAGGACAAGATGTGCAATGGCAGGACAGTAGACAAGGACAATACAGACAGGGTGCATGGGACATGTTACAAAAAGCATCCTGAAGGCCAGAGGTGCTCAGCAGAAATAATATGTCAAACCTGGCCTAGCAGCACTGGGCAGTTCTGCTTGCTGAACCCTGGGACATTTCTTCTGCCCAAAGTACTCTCCTTGCTACCAGCCACAGATATCATGCCAGTTTGCTCCTTCCCAGCCCAGCAGCCAGTTCCCAACCTCCCTAACAGTCCTTTTGTCCAACCGATTCTTCTGCAGCCTCCAAAGACAAATGCTGTGGACATGTTTCCTTTTGCTCTCCATCTCCTAGCCTGCCCCAGGTCAGCTGGGTCCTGCAGCATCTCCTTGATGTGCCCTTGGGCCAGGTGAGGTTGCAGGGAAGAGGCATCCAGTCCCTCGCATTGCTGTGAGCTCCTGCACGGTGGTGTGTGGCTTCATGCACCACCCAAGGGCTGCCTGGGGCTTTGTGTTGAGTGTGGTTTCATCCACATGGCCAGAAGGACCTGATCATCATGTCCTGCTGGTGACCTGTGGCTCATCCAACCTGCCTATGGGAGCCATGAGGGGGTAGGTTGGTTTCCTAGCTGGGATTTGGCAGCTATGTTTTGTATCATCACAGGCACTTGGGGGGGGTGCATATAGGGTCTGTCTGTGTTCTGCTGGATGTCTCCCCAGCCTGATGTCCACTCTCTCTTTTGGCAGTGGGTTTTTCCGAGTGAATGAGACCACCTTCGTGCTGGAGCCCCTGGAGAGGGATGTGGCTGGCCAGCACGCAGTGTACCGAGCAGCTCACCTGCGGGGGAAGCGTGGCACATGTCGAGAGTTTGGTGCCGCCCTGGAGTATGACCACGAACCGAAAACTCCTGCAGCCATAAAGCTCTACCGCTGGGTTAAGGATTGCATTGCTTCTACTTTCTGTAGCTGAGTTTGCAAAAGGTCCTGTGAAGTCCAAGAGAGGAGTGGGGTCATACCACATCTCTTGGAGATGCTCCTCTCCTACGCGTTTTTGTTGGAGTAGTCAAACACAGGTTGCTCCCAGTGGCCTAGCTCCTGGTGAGAACAAGTCCTCAGACCCTGTACCATTAGCAGGAGCGTCCTACCCCATGAGCTCTGTGGTGCCCACAGAGCCTCGCTTGTGCCTTGTCCCAGTAGCAGGCTTGGGTTTTTTCCGTGTGTGTAGGAAGATGTCTGAAACACCCACCAAAGTAACGTCAGAAAGCAGAGCTAGAAGACCTACTTGAATAACATTGGAAGATGCCCCAGGATCCAACACATCCCACAGGAGGGTTAGCCGCAGAGCCTGGCAAACTGCAGAGCTGAGCCCCTCCTTGTGCTCACTTTCTTCTTCCCTTCCAGAAATCAGCTCCATTACACAAAGGTCCTCGATACGTGGAGCTGGTCCTGGTCGTGGACAATGAGGAGGTAAGCATGGGATGGGGCAAGCCAGTGCCTGTGTTTTTGCTGTCATCCACTGCAGCGAGGAGGTCAAAGCCAGCCTGGAAATGTCTCTATGTCCTTCCCATAGTTCAGGAAGCACAAGGACTTGCGCACAGTGCAGAACCGCATGAAGGAAATCGTGAACCATGTGGACAAGGTGAGCCTGGGGGTCTGGATCTGCCCTCCCCGCTCCCACATGTGCGCCACAGTGCCAGTGTGGGCATGAACGTGGCGGAGGAGAGATTTTTGTGGGTATGGTGATCGAGCTGGAGGTAATTCTCAAGCCTGTAGGTGGGCTGCCACAGGGTGACCAACTCCCTTGGCTAACGGGGTGTGCAAAGTGGACAGGACAAGCAGCTAAACCCTGGGTCCTCAGAAGCACGAGCTGGCTGCTTCTTAGCTCTCTCATAAGGAAGAAGGCAAGAAATTTCTTTCTGTAAGACCTGGGAACATGTCCCATGGCCACTCTCAAGCTGGAACGGGTTCTAATGAGGGAATGGTGATGGATGGAGTGCACGAAGGCGGGTTTTCTACTTGCCTCACTCTTTGGTCAGCAGTGTGGGAGCAGCATCCCAGCCTTCACTGGCCAAGAGGGAGCCCAGAGGTCCTGGGGTAAACCCTGTCTACATGGTCACCCCAACTTGTGTCATTTATTGAAGGGGTGACAGAGCTGATATTGCACAGTGAGGTGGGGTCCTGGGCTTGGTTGTGGTTCCCCAGGGGAGGTGGGACCTTCCCTCTGCTTGTGCAGCTCAAATCCAAGTGCTCCCTCCGGGCTGTCTCCCACCCCAGCTTTATCAGCCTCTTCGCCTGCGGGTGGCCTTGATCGGCTTGGAGGTGTCTAGAAGGTGAAGGATGAACCTCCAGCGGTTCCTTCACGCCAAGTTTTCTACAATATTTGGACATCTGCTTCACAGTCCACTCAGCTTTGTCCTAACTCCTACTCAGAGATACACAAGGGATTGCTCATTTTCATCTTGATAAAAACGTGAGTGCCGGGGCAATCGGGGGGGGGGGGGGGGGGGGAGGGGAGCAAAATCTCACCATCCTGGCAGCCCTGCTGCTGGCCAGGCCACATGGCCATGGTGGCATCTCAATCCCACAGGGGCATAGACTTCCACGGCACGACTGTAGGGCTTGCCAAGAAGCTTGTGATGTGCACCAGGGATTCAGGTGGTGTCAACCAGGTGGGTCCTGCTGCCTGGGCATGCATGGGGAGGGCAGCAGTAGTCCCACAGTCTGCACTCCCTGCATTGTATTTTCCAGAGCGGGTCTCTCCTCCACTGGTCTCCTGCTTTCCCCCTCCACAGCCTTAGGGCTGGATCTGGTCCTTGGCATCTCTGAACCATGAGTGACTGACCCCCAGAGAAGTGTCGAGGCCACAGGGGAAGGGTAGCTGTGGAAACCCAGCTGGGTGCCTGTGGAGGGCTCTGATATACCTGAGCCCTGAAGAGCCTCCCAGAGTAGCTCCATGGAAACAGGGCTTCTCCCACCACCTGTCGGGAGTTTAGGACTTAGTTTGCAATTGCTCCTTGGCCATCCTGGCTGTACTCCTCATCCCTCCCTGGGGAGGGCATCCTTTGCTGGAGCAGGAGTGGTCAGCCATTGGGCCTGTGGCTGTCCAGAACCACCACAAAGCATCACTTCAGGGTAGCCTCTATATCTAAGCTCACTTACACCCCTGAGAGCCCAGTCTGGCAGTCTTCAGGGGCTATGGGACCAAGTCCAGCTTTTGCTTTCCTTTTTTGCTTTTTACCTCAGCACAGCAGCACTAGGGAATGAATTGCAGGCAGCAGCAAGACCTGGCACTGAGTGGTTGAAGAACCGCAGTGGGCCCTGTGGAGATACTATGGAGAGCATTTCAATGACGCTACACTTCTTGTCCCACAGGACCACAGCATGACTCCTATTGGCGCTGCGTCCACCATGGCTCATGAGATGGGGCACAACCTGGGGATGTCTCATGATGAAGACATTGCTGGCTGCCACTGTCCTGTCCCCAAAACTGATGGAGGATGTGTGATGGCAGCAAGTGTTGGGTGAGTGAAGGAGAAAAGGGAATATTCCTGGGCAGCAAATATTTCAAGGTGTCCTCTGACATTGTCCTGATGGGGTGAAGCTTGTGAGATGGTCAGGTCTGGGTGGACACCACTTGAAGCTGCACTTCAAACATCGGTTGGTGACCCTCCAGCTTCTCCCTGGGCTGGTGGGTGCAAGGGCCTTTGGCCTCTCATTTCTGCTCATGACTGCCTGTTTTTGTGCCCCTTCAGCTTGGTTTACCCTAAGCTCTTCAGCCACTGCAGCCAGGGCAGATGAGCTGTACGGGGGACCAGTGTGTGGGAACCAGTTTGTGGAGCGGGGAGAGCAATGCGACTGTGGCACGCTAGAGGTAGGGACGCTATCTGAGAGCCCAGGAGTGACGGTGGGCAGCAGGGACATGAGACCTGTCATTCAGATTTGGAAAATTTTGTGCAAGCCGCTTCTCTGGACATTGTGCTTTGCAAGACTCCTCTTCCTTATGTTCCTGATGCTTCTGCTGAAAAATCATTTGCAAAGGAGATTTGTTAACTTGGACGTGTCCTCCTCCCTTCACATAGCTGGCTGCGATTTTAGCAGGACTGTGCCTAGGGAAGATGGACATCGCCCTCCCGCATATCCTCCAAAAAGGTGGTCGAAGGAGGGGGACATCATGGCAGTTGTCCCTTCAAGAGCCATGCTCAGCTTTTCCTCATCCCTAGCAGCACATCACTGCATCAGCACAGGGAGATTTGAGACAAAAAGCCAGGCCCTGTCTCTGGGATAAATCCCTGGGTCACAGCCCTGCGCTGGGATCTGAAGGGATGCTCCCCCAGTGCAGAGAGCACAGAGATCCTCTTGTTTTCTCCTTGGAGATGTGCAAATGGTGCTACCAGGGAGCAGGGGCCCAGGTCAGGTCCCATCTTCTGAAAACCCTCTTCTGGTCCTTTGGTTTGGTGTTGCTAGTGGGGGTAAAGAGGCGGCAGGAATGGTTCACACCTGGAATGATGCTGTGCTTTTGCCCCATGGTTCAGCCTGTGGCGGCTACACTGCCATTGGCACCTGGTGACGTGGCAATTGGGTCCCCCCAGAAAGGAAGAAAAAGGTCTTTCAGGGGGCTCTCTGGAGGGTTTTGGTGTATCCCTGTCTTGCAGGAGTGCTCTGACCGCTGTTGCAATGCCACAACTTGCCAGCTGAGAGAGGGAGCTGAGTGTGCCCGGGGGGATTGCTGCCAGGACTGCAAGGTACTGCCACTTCCCTGGGGGACCAAGCTTGTCAGAGAAGCCAGCTGCTGGGTGCACAGTCCTGCCCCAGGCTCTCTGGAGCTTCCTGGGAGAGGCAGGATGTGTCCATAGCCTGCCGGAGAGCCTGAAGGACCTCTGGAGCAGCCTGTCCAGAGCCAAACACACCCAATGGTTTGGGGCAGTGGGGTGGTGGAAATCACGCTTTCCATTTAATGCTCTTGCTACATGAACAGTCAGCATCTTGGGTGGGAAGCGGTTGGGAAGGTGAAGCAGCCTCTGTTTCTGGCATACTGGAGCCCAGGTCCCCTGGCTCTGTTAGGTTAGGTACAGGATGAAAGGTGCTGAACTGGGCAATGTTCAGAAGAGATCAGTGTGGCCCATTCCTGGTCCAGGAAACCAACCTGCCTCTTCTACTCCGTTCATCCAAGAGAAACTTAGGAGTTACATGCATTGGTTCCTGCACACAGGCATAAGAAATGCCTTGATGTGAAGAGACAGGGCTTGAAGAGGACCCCGGGACAAGTCCAGACTGAAAGAAAAGCACAAGGTGTTGCCTGCAGGGAGAGACTTAACTATGGGAAGACCCAGTCCGAGGCCTGACAGTGTCTCCGTCCTGTGCAGTAGCTCAGTCAATAGCAAATGTCTTTGTGCCAGAGCAGCACAAGCTGCTGTGTCCGGATCTGTAGGGTGCCAGGACCTGTTTTGAAGACCAGGTGTTGCCAGGCTGTGGTGCCTGCGTGGATCTGAGGTTGCAAGAGCATCAAGGCAAAACTGACATCCCTCTTTGTGTGCAGGTGAAGGCTGCTGGTGCACTCTGCCGGGCCAGCAAGAATGACTGCGACCTGCCTGAACACTGCACTGGCCTCAGCGCTGAGTGCCCAGAGGATGTCTTCCAGGAGAATGGCATCCCCTGCCAGAATGGCAACGGCTACTGCTACAACGGGGCCTGCCCCTCACATGGCGAGCAGTGCCGCGCTCTGTGGGGCACAGGTAGCATCTTCCCCGCCCTGCCCACCCTCCTCGCCCCACGTGCTGGGTAATGTGCCTGGCACCCCAGCTCCTCAGGCCAGGGCATTGCGCGGTTGTGGTCCCCTCCTGCTTCCCCAAAAGGGGGTGCTGTGGCTGCTGACCCCAAAGTGCAGCCACTGGTGACAGCCCCGCTGGCTTGCTGCAGGCTTTGGCTCCGCATGACCCTTTTCCTGTGTCCTGCAGAGGCCCAGGTGGCTCCTGATGTCTGCTTTAAGCACAACAGCGAACACCACCTTCACCTCCACTGCCTCACTGAGTATGGGAAGCGGCCCTGCAGCCCCAAGTAAGGAGATGGGGAGGGGGGGTTGGTGGGCTGATGTCCATGTCTAGTGACAGCACCACTGGGCCAAGCGAAGCTCCCCAGGCCCCCCCCCCCCCCGCCACTGGTGCTCATGGCTGCGTCTCCCACAGGGATGTGAAGTGTGGCACGCTGTTGTGCCTGAGTGACAATGCCAGCCCTGTCCTCGGCAGTGGCTCCTACTCCCTCTTCTTTGGCCGCTTCAAGTGCAAGGCAGTCATTGCCAGCAACGACGCCAATGAGGTGGTGGCCAAGCTCAGGCTGGTGCCCACTGGTACCAAGTGTGGAGAGGAAATGGTGAGCGTGCTGGCTGCCGTGCTGGGGCGGGCAGTGTAGGGGGGGGAAGGACTGCCAGCTGTGGGTACCCAGGGCAGCCTCAGAGCCCCCTGCCTGCCCTCAGGTCTGCTATGCTGGGCGCTGCCAAAACCTCCTGGTCTATGGCAACAAGAACTGCTCGGCCAAGTGCAACAACCATGGGGTATGTTGTGGGATCCTCTCCCTGAGCAGCCGCAGGGCCTGGGCAGCGGTCCCAGCCCTGACGGCATGTCCGCCACCCTGACGCTTCCCTCCCTCATCTCAGGTGTGCAACCACAAGCGGGAGTGTCACTGCGAACCAGGCTGGGCAGCGCCCTACTGTGAGCAGAAGATTTCAGGGATGGTGGCAGGTACGGCACCCGCTGTGTGTGGCTGGCACCGGCTCCCTCGGCCCGAGGCATGTGCCGGGAAGGGAGGCTGGGGAGGGGGTCAGTGCCCTGCTGGGGGGCCTATAGGCGCTGCTCCCTCCCCCGT